ACATATATGCACCAAATGAAGGAGCACCAAAATATATCAGGAAACTACTGTCATCTATAAAATCATATGTCAGAGAAAATACATACATAGTAGGAGACTTCAACACGCCACTCTCCACAATGGACAGATCAACAAGACAAAAAAAATAAAGACACTAAAGTTCTGAACAAGGATCTGAACAACATGGGTCTAACAGACATCTATAGAATACTGCACCCCAAAAATCTGAGTACACATTTTTCTCAAACCCACATAGATCATTCTCTAGGATTGACCACATACTGGGTCACAAAATAAATATCAGTAGATACACTAAGATCAAAATCATACCAACAATTTTCTCTGGCCATGAAGAAATCAAACTAGAAATAAACCATATGAGGAAAACAGGAAACCACCTATCACGTGGAGACTGAAACCCACAGTACTGGAGCAGTCATTAATGAGGAGATCAAAGAAGAATTAAAAAATTAGCTGGAGAAGAACGATAACAACGACACAAATCTCCAAAGCTTATGGGATGCATTAAAAGCAGTTCTAAGAGGAAAGTAAGTAGCATTACAGGCTCACATATAGAAACAATAAATAACTCAAATAAATAATCTAATGTCCCACCTTAAAGAACTGGAAAAAGAAAAACAAAATAACGCAAAATCCAGCAGAAGACAGAAAATAATAAAAGCCAAATCAGAAATAAATTAAATGGATGTTAGAAAAACAGTCCACAAAATCAATGAAACCCAAATTTGGTTCTTTGAAAAAATAAACAAGTTAGACAGGCCACTAGCCAGGCTCACAAAGAAAAAAACAAGAGAAAGCACAAATAAACAGAATCATAAACGAAAGAGGAGAATCACAACAGATCAAGGAGAAATGAAAAGGATAATCAGAGAATACTATGAGGAACTATATGCAAACAAGTTGGACAATTTAACAGAAATGGACAAATTCCTACAACTCTAAAACCACTTAAAACTAGATTAAGAAGAAATGGAACAACTATACAGACCAACTACAAGCAAGGACATTGAAGAGGTAATCAAAACCCTCCCCAGAAATAAAAGCCCTCGAAAGATGGATTTACTAATGAATTTTAGTAAATGTTCAGGAAAGAACTATTGCCTATTCTGCACAAACTCATCCAAAAAATTGAAAATGAAGGAAAACTACCACATACTTTCTATGAATCTAACATCACACTAATACCAAAGCCTAAAAAACAAACAAACAAACAAACAAACAAAAACACACAAAAAAAGAAAACTTCAGACCAATCTCCCTAGTGAACACTGAGGCAAAAATCCTGAACAAAATCTTAGCCAACAGAATCCAACAATGCATTAAAAGAATAATACACCATGACCAAGTGGGCTTTATCTCAGGTGCACAAGGATGGTTCAACTTCAGAAAATCAATTAATGTAATCCATCACATCAACCGACAGAAAAATAAAAGCCACATAATCATATCAATAGATGTGGAAAAGGCATTCGACAAAGTTCAACACCCATTTATGTTTAAGGCCCTCGAAATCCTCGGAAGAGAAGGAACATTCTTCAACATGATAAAAACCATAAATGACAAACCTACAACCAATATCATCCTCAATAGAGAAAAGCTGAAATCCTTTAATGTAAGATCAGGAATAAGATCACCACTATCACCACTGCTCTTCAACACAATATTGGATGTTCTAGTCAGAGCAATAAGACAGGAAAAAGACATACAAGGAATCCAGATAGGGAAAGAAGAAGTAAAACTGTCCTTATTTGCAGATGATATGTTAATCTACATGGAAAACCCTAAAAACTCCACAGAGAAACTTATCCAAACCATCAACCATTTTAGCAAGGTAGCAGGATATAAAATCAACACACAAAAGTCAGAGGCCTTACTATACACCAACAACCAATCAGAAGAAGCAGAAAAAAAAAATTCCCCTTTTCAATTAAAATAAAAAGAATCAAATACCTGGGGATCAACCTAACAAAAGAGGTAAAAGACCTATACAAAGAAAATTACGAAACACTGTTAAAAGAAATAGAAGACACCATAAAATGGAAAGACATCCCCTGCTTATGGATCCGGAGAATTATCATCAAAATGGCCATCCTATCAAAGGTGCTATACAGATTTAATGCCATCCCAATAAAAGTCTCAATGACATTCTTCAAAGAAATAAGAAAAAATATTGATGAGATTCATGTGGAACCACAAAAGACTTTGAATAGCTGAAACTAGAAAAAAAGAGAATGAAGGCATTACAATCCCAAACTTCAAGCTATACTACAAAGCCATAATAATCAAAACTGCAGGTACTGGAACAAGAACAGACAAAGAGACCAGTGGATTCAGATATAAAACCCATTTATAAACTCACAGGACAGTAACGCATTTATAGACAGCTAATCTTTGACAAAGGAGCAAAGAAGATACAATGGAACAAAGAAAGTTTGTTCAGAAAATGGTGCTAGGAAAACTACATGCAAAAAAATGAAACTAGATCACTACCTCTAACCATACACAAAAATCAACTCAAAGTGGATTAAAGATTTAGACATAAGAATGGACACCATAAAAGACCTTTAAGCAAAGATGGGCCAACCACTACAGGACATACACTTCAGCGACATCTTTGAAGATACAGCACCCAATACAACTATAGTGAAGGCAAGGATAAATAGATGGGACTACATCAAGTTAAAGAGCTTCTGTACACTAAAAGGACATTAAAAAAAAAAAAACAGACATCCCAGTGATTGGGAAAATTTTTTTTTCACACAAAACTAGCTTTAAAGGACTGATCACAAATATATACATAGAACTGATGAAACTCAACAATAATAAAGTAAACCATCCCATAAAAAATAGGCAGAAGGGCCAAAAAGACACTTCTCCAAAGAGGAAATGCAGATGGACAACAAGCATATGAAAAAATGTTCACTGTAATAAGGGAGCCGCAAATTAAAACTGCAATGAGATACCACCTCATCCCCATGAGAATGGTACATCTTTAAACAACTGGCATCAACAAATGTTGATGAAGATGTTTAGAGAAAGGAACTCTCCTACACTGTTGATGGGAATGCAAACTAGTACGACAACTATGGAAAACTGTTTGGAGGTTCCTTAAAGTGCTAAACATTGAACTTCCATATGACCCAGCATCCCACTACTGGTTATCTACCCTAAAGACATGAAAACACTGATTCAAGAAGAAACCTGCACCCCCATGTTTATTGATGCTTTATTTACCATTGGAAAGACATGGAAACAGCCCAAATGCCCAAAAGTGGATGACTGGTTTAAAAAGATATGGTATATTTACACAATGGAATATCATTTAGCAACCAACAAAAATAAAAACAGGCCTTTTGCAGCGACATGGATGGAGCTCGAAAAGATCATGCTTAGTGAAATAAACAAAGGAAGGATACCGGATGGTTTCATTCATAGCAGGAGTATAAAGGGCGAGGTAGAAAATAATAATGGTAATGAGCAGCTATATACCAGAGACATTTTATGGCAGTGGAATGGGCAATAAGTTCAAAAACTGTGGGAGGAGGGAAGTGCACTGGACTATGGTGATGGCATAGGGGTAATTTGGTGATAGGAAGCCCATGGGGATTATAACTGAGATGTATAAAGGCATAAAATCATGTAAAATAAACTATCATATTGTTAAATTGTTGGTATTTTGGTAAGTATTGCTCTGAACCTGTAACTTTCTTTAGGTAGCATAACCATTTAATTTTTTTTTAATTTATGCATACAAGTACTGGGTTACCAGCTAGAATATGCAGAGGGTGGTGAGAAGATTCACTGGAGACAGAATGGGGAGCAAATCAGGCAGATAGACTGAAATACACTCTGAGGGGAACAGCATAAGTGTGAGGAGAGCTCTGCCCAACCATGTGAGTCACTTCCCTGGCCCGAGACAGAACTCATGCTGCAGTTGCTGAGTAAGGGTTCATAGTGCTGTGCTCTAACTTTCTGCACCACCATGGACAGCCCTGTAATATAACCATTTTAGTGATGTTTATTTTGCAATCTGTGAGGACAGGGCATTTTTCCATTTTTTTTATTTCCCTTAATAGTGTTTTATAGAATAATGTATAGATCACCTCCTTTGTTAAGTTTACTCTGAGGTATTTCATTCTTTTCTGTGTAATCTTTAGTGGTATTTCTTTTCCTACTTTCCATTCTTTTGATCTATTGTTTGCATATAGAAATGCGGCAGATTTTTGCGCATTAATTTTGCAATCTACTACTTTACTGTATTAATTTATTATTTATTAATTTAGTATTAGTTTATTTATTATTGATTGATTTATTAGTAATTTATTTATTAATGATTGATTTGAGTTTTTCAACTCTGAGTTGTGAAATTTCTCACTGTTCTGAGTAATAGACCATATATTCTTCATAGATATGTTTGGAAAAATCAATGTATTAGTGACTTTGGTGTATGTGAGCAAGAAATAAATGTTATTTTTTGAAAAGTATGATTTCAAGTCTTCTGGTAAGAAGAAATGACTTTTTTGATGGTGCACAGAGTCCATGGAGAGATTGCTTTATATTCTACTTTTATTTCCACAAATAGCATTGACTTCTAGCACTTATAGGCCTAATAACAAATGACCTCTAACATTTCTAATATCCTTTAAAAATGATTTATTTCTTTATGCACTCAGAACTGGAGTACAGGCCAGATGTGCAGGTGCAATGAGAGGATTCACCAGAGACAGAATGGGGAGCAGAACATGCTGACTGACAAAGTACACTGCTGAGGGTCAGGAGAGGTCTGCCACACTATGTGAGTCAGCTCAGGGCTGGGGATTGAACTCGTGTTGAAGTGGCTGTGGCTAGCTTGCAATTCTGTGTCCTTACCCACAGTGCCACCAGGGAGGCCCCCATTTCTATTATTCTTAAGAAAGAATTTGTTAAGTCCTATGTTTCCTTAGAGCAATTCAAATAAATATGCTAACATGAAATTACAATCAAGTGTAGTAACTCAGGTGACTTTTAGTCTTTTGCAAGGAACATCTACTGATGATTATATTCTTCACAGCTGCTATTACATCTTTGTTTCTTAAGCTGTAGATGAGGGGGTTAAGCATAGGTGTAAGGATAGCATTAAACATAAATAGAGACTGGTTTAATTTGGGTGTCTTAGAGGAATCAGGTCTCATGTAGACCAATATGGCAGGGCCAAAGTAGAGACTGACCACAAGGAGGTGAGAGGAGCAGGTGGCCAAAGCCTTGTTTTTGCCTTCAGGTGAGTTCATGTGGAAGACAGCAAAGAAGATGAAAATGTAGGAGGTCAGGATAAGACCCAGAGGAATGAGGACCACCAGAAAACTTGAGACAACCACTGACTTCATATAGGTTGAAATGTCTTCACAGGTGAGTTTCAGGAGGGCCATAACCTCACATAAAAAGTGTGGGATCTCTCGGGGATGGCAAATTGGGAAATGCATAGCATAAGCTGTGTGACTCAGGGAAGTGACTGCCCCTCCTGCCCATGATACAATGACCATCTTTTTACAGGTGTTATGGCTTATGATGACTGAATAACGCAATGGGTTACAGATAGCAATGTATCGGTCATAGGACATGAGTGTAAGCAGAAGGCATTCAGCAATCCCAAGGGTTAAACTGAAGAAAATCTGGGTTCCACAACCAACTTGTGATATTGATCTCTTCCCTGAGAAGAAGTTTGCAACCATTTTGGGGACAGTAGTTGAGATCAAGGCCAAGTCAATGAGAGAGAGCTGACTGAGTAGGAAGTACATGGGAGAATGTAGTCGTGTATCCAACCAGATGAGGAAAATGAGAAAAGCATTGCCCATGACAGCTATAAAGTAGACCAGAAGAATGAGGCAGATAAGAATCACAAGGTGACTGAGCTCAGGCCAAAGACCAAGAAGAATAAAATCTGTGGTGACAGTCTTATTGTTTCTCTGCATGATTGAATATCATTGTCCAGAAACAAGGATAACAATATTGTTCCACCTAATGATGAATTAATGTCATATTTTCTACTTTCTCTACTCCCAGAACTCTTGAATATGTGCACATGATTTCTTTCCTTGTTGCTATTTCAAAAAATTTTTGAAAACTTTGCTATACAAGATTTTCATTAATTATTTCCCGTGCATTTCTTCAACAAACTTACTTCAACAAGAGTTAAAATAATTTTAGATGTTAAAAAGCAACAGATTCACACAGTCTTATGAGGCTTTATGGAAAATAAAGATTTTTTTTGAAGATAGCATTTAGAAGTCTTGATTACTTGAGAATATAAAATAATTCTTAGATTTTAGTGTGGTCTATGATCTCTTTTTTACTCACACTTTTTTACTAAAGAGTAGTTTGACATTTGCCCATGAGTCATCCTTACCCTGATCAAATTTCTTAAGGCAGTTGAACGTTAGCAGAATGACTAATCTTACCATCCATAGGAGGGACTTCACAAATATTCTTGTAAATTTCACACAGATATCCATAGTGTGGGTGAAACCCAAAGCTTCTATTAAAGCAGTCAAGGTACTAGTTGATGCTGCACAAAAGGACACAAGACCATGTTGGAGAAAATTGTTAGGATTCAGCTTGCAAGAAGTAATTTATTTTAAGGTAGAAGGTAGACTGTTTAGCTTAGATTTAGTTACACTTATAAACTATAGAAACAGAGGTAGCACTGTGGATTAATTAAAAGCATAGTCTTTAGAGAATCATTACCAGGATTTGAAACTCCCTTTGTCCAATGACCACATTTACCAGTATGAAGACCGTGGTCTAGTGGATCATCCTTCTGTACCTTTTTCCTTTCTTTTATATAATGTAACTTGGTTGTACTCACCACATAGGGGTAAGTTTAGAAATTTTAGAATATGGCCTGGTTATCAGTGTTAGATATAATTGGAAGATTTCTTTGCATAGTGGCTGAATCTGTGCCTTTAGGTCTCTTACCATTCACAGAGCTGTATTTGGGTGTTTAATTTATTTCCATTTGCAATTATGTAAGTTACATAAATATGCAGGATCACAGAGATTCTTGCATTTTCACACATATCTGTAAAATACAAATTTAAAACTACATTAAGATTAATAATTTATAACAAGTGTATGATTGTATAGGTGGATATGGTGAGTTGTGTGTAATCCATAGGCTTGAGGGATGCTTAAATAACAGTGAAAAAATAAAATGAAAATAATTGAAATATAAACCATAGACACACACAAAATAAAAGAATAACAATTCAGTTTTACTTTAATTGCCAAGCAGATAACTTATTTAAAGTCTTCCAGCTCATCTACCCCATCAGAAAATGGGCAGAAATACTAAAAAGACACTTCTCCAAAGAGGAAATGCAGATGGCTAACAAGCATATGAAAAAATGCTCAACATCACTTGTAATAAGGGAGATGCACATTAGAACCACAATGAGATACCACCTTACACCAGTGAAAATGGCACATCTTAAAACAACTAGCATCAACAAATTGTTGGCAAGGATGTGAAGACAAAGGAACTCTCCTGCACTGCTGGTGGGAATGTAAACTAGTAAAACCACTATAGAAACTGTTTTGAGGTTTCTCAAACTGCTAAAAATGGTACATCCATATGACCCAGCTCCTAGATATCTACCCAAAAGACACAGAAACACCGATTCAAGAAGATACCTGCACCTCCATATTTATTGCTGCACTATTTACAATTGGAAACACATGGAAACAACCCAAATGTCCAAAAGTGGATGACTGGATTAAAAAGCTGTGGTACATATACACAGTGGGATATTAATCAAAAATATAAACACATGCCTTTTGCAGCAACATGGACGGAGCTGGAAAAGATCATGCTAAGAGAAATAAGCCAGAAAGGAAGCAAAAATACCAAATGGTTTCACTCACAGTAGGAGTTTATAGGACTGGGGAGAACATAATACCAATGAACAACTATATACCAGAGATGGGGATGGGATGAGGAATGGTATCAAAAACAGTGGGATGAGGGAAGTGTACTGAACTATGTTGATGGCACACAAATGATTTGGTTATGGGAAGCCTACAGAGATTACAACTGAGATGGAAAAAGGCATAAAATGATGAAAAAATAAACTATTATGTTATTACAAAAATTTGCCAGTTCAAAATTTCCTCCATGGTTTCCCTGTTAACTTTTACCTCTTTTATGTACCTTAAGGTATATGATACAATCTACATTACATCCAGCAGCTACTTGAGAGATCTATTCCTTACCCATGCAGGTGATTAATGTTCCTACAGTGTTTTTTTCTCTTAAATACTTTGCACTTTCAGAATCTCTTTCATTGTACGTTGAAAAGATAAGTTATAAACAATTGTGTGAAAAAATGCATTTTGTTCATATTTTTCTGATTTGTAGCTTCTGAGAGGTTAATAATGTACAATTTAATTCTCAATCTTATGGAATTCATGAAATCAAACAGTAATTACCTTGGCAAAACATGACTGAGATGCTTATGGAATGTCAGAAATACATATTTCTCCAGGCCAGTTAAATTATGTTTAATTTTTCTAATAAGAAATCTTTGAGAAACATTAATGTGCTATTTGACCGAGTTAATGCATCAAGTGATAGTTCTCATGGATAACTAATAAGACTCAAATATCTATTTTATGTGTCTTTCAGCTACATGTGGTGATTTTGTATAACATAAAAGAACAATAAAAATCTTACTTTTCCTTTCATTTTTGTCATTTTCTCAAGATTATAAATACTCATAAGGCCGTTTTGTCATCTTCTAGGCTTAATTAGTATTTATGAAATAGGTGAATTAAAGATTTATGTACTAATAGATTTGGAAATTAATTCCTCATATATCTCCATGGTTCATTCTGTCATTTTTTTCAGTATATACAGGTCTGCTGAATTCACTATCTGCTAGAGAAATTCTATTATAGACTATAAGAAATTACGAATGAATGGAATCTCAACTCTGGCCTTAGTAAACTTTGCAGGAATAGATGCTTCACCACTATAGTAAAATGAGGAGTTTTATAAATAAAAACATGGTTCAAAAACTGCAAGTAAACAGTGGAAGTTTTGGGGGTAGAGGTGATACTTTAGCACATATTAAAGGACGATTAATAGTTTTCCAGGTTGAAAGAGTCATTCCAAGTATCAGGAACATTATGAGGAGTGAAGCAAACAAACATCAGAAAATAATGTTTTGGGAAGTTCTTTGTGGTTAGGACTCAATATTACTGTAGAAAAGTGGGAGGAAGTAAGATATAAAGCTGTAAGTGGTTTATATATTGATAGATGGGCAGATATCTGTCACTAGTGATCATACTAATTAGGGAACACAGTGGCTAGTGAAGAAGGCTGATTAATGATGATTTTATGCATTGAAGATATTCCATGCATATTTTCTTATTGCTAATTATTTTATAAATATAAGTGTCAGATATCCTGATGATAATGATAAGCTACTACTGATCATTCAAGTGCCCTTAGTAAGGTTGTTAGACAGGAAGCTATTTTGTTCATCACAGAGTCATACCGACAATGGCTCATATAGAATTTAGATAAATTCACTTAACTGGTATCTGGTTCTTAGAACTGTTGTACTCCATTCAAATTATCTGTGAATTTTTTTTTATTTGTAGAGGGAAGAAGGACACAATCTAAATTCAATAATAATATGATTTGCACACTTATGAACTATGAGAAAAATATAAAATTTTGAGTCTATTCTTCAGGTGGATTCCCTGATCCATAGCAGATACCCAAAACATTAAAATTTTCTGATACTTTGAACATGATTGTAATCATTGATACAGTAAATATATTATTTTAAAAAGAAAGGGGTTTAATACCAGAATATAAAGCATTGAAGTCAGACAAATGAGGAATTTGGGGTCTTCTTGGTCCTGCAAAGTTGAGCTAGATATATAAGCAGCTAATCACCCCCATCAATGAGAATGCCATAAAAATACCCTTTTGTTAGTACTTTTCTTATATTGCAGTCTTGTTTCCTACCAATCTTTCTTTACCTACTTAACATTCTGGTATTGTTTTAAATCCCTGTGTCATCTTTTCTTCTCATCTAGAAATTAGCACTTCACATAGTTTTATTTTTGCCTTAGTATTATTCCATATCTCCCAAGTTCTAATATAGGTTGAGAGTCAAACAAGGATCCTGACCTTGCTTTTCTGAGATTGACTTTAATCAAGCAATCATAACCAACTTAGGAATACATTCTTTTTCTCAGCAATGCATAATATAGTATATGTATATAGGGAGCACAGTGTTTCTGCTAATCAATATATTTCTACTCATTTCATGTAAGACTTGCAATTGAGTTTACCTTTGTCATTCTAAATACTTTAATAAATTTGCTTTGAGAACAAGACATGTTAGGATTATTTAGTGAAAAAAAAACCAGAATAATAGCAACTAGATTAATGAATTTGAATGTATTTTGATATTATTCAGAGACATCTGGTACAATTCATCACACTAGCAATAATGGTAGCAATAAAACTAGTAATAACAATACTAGTAAAATTTTTTCTTGATCACAATAAATGGTAGAATTGACATAATGCACTGCTATATAGTTGAATTTTATTAACAATCCCTGATATTAAAGTTAATTTATACAATTTAGTAATTGTACACCAGTTTTAGAAATAAGAAAACTGGAACTCATAGAGGCTGAGTAATTTTCTAAAAAGCAGAAGACCCATAAAATAACCCTGGAAAGTTGATTTTAGAGTCCACTGTCAAACTAACCAACATTTCCCAGATTTACCTGATCATCAGAATCAAAGAATTCTCTGGTAAAAATGAAGATTTTGAACCATAATCAAATTTGCTGGGATGGAACCTGGGATATTAAACAGGCCTCCCTTAAGTCTTAAGATCTTATGATTAAAAAAGTCTTCAGAGAACCACAATGCTTCAATGCCATCTAA